GGCTGGCGGCGGAAAAGTTGCCGGGCGGAGAGCAGCGGCCCCGGGACGGGCAGAGACGACCACGCCGAGCCGGATCCCGGCACCCGCGGCCCCGTCATGGACGACCTGGGTGAGTGAGCTGGAGGCTGAGGGAGGAAGAGGCGAGGGGCGCATGGGTCTTGGGCCGGGCGGGCGGGAGCGAGCGGCAGGGGGCCTTGGGATCCCACCCCCGGCGGCCGGGGCCCCTGCTGCGGTCTCTGCCGGCCGGGGCTCCTTGGGGTTGGGGTTCCGCGCTCGGCCTGTGTCCCACGCCAGGCCGCCCCCATTGCCGGTCCTCTCAGCAGCCACCCTCCGCCTGGGGACGGCCTCAGTCGGGACCCCGGGCCGTGGCGACCCACCCTCATCTCGCGTCCTCGGCCCTCGCACCAGCTCACCCTAAGGGGCCCGCACCGTCCGCCTCAGGACGGGACCCCCGCCCCCTGCACCAGAGCACCTCCTGGTACTGGACCCTCACCTCACAGACCGTTCCCCACCCCCACTTCACACAGATCAACTACCCGACTCGGGGCCGCTGCCTCATACTGTATCATGGGCTGGTCTCTCATTTCCGGGGACCACTCCTCTCCCTCCAGGCGGCCCTCACTTCACACAGTGGCACCCCTACGTCAGGGATAACCCCATGGTGCCCACTCCTTGCATTTCACAACCTAGTGATGAGTCCCTGATGACCACACCCCCGTTTCAAAATGACAAGTTTCCCAGTCTCCTCCACTAACCCCTCATTTTGAGTCTGATCACCTTGTTTCATGGATCATTCACTCCATTTCCCAGTAGTGACCAGTCATCCACGCCAGGCCAGTCTCTCCCTTTTTCATTTGTAAGTCTACAAGACAAGTTGGGAGGCATGCTTCCCCCATTCTCCCATCCTGCTGAAATGCCAGAGGAATGAGGTGGAAACAGGCCAGAAGGTAATGGCCATCTCTGAACAGGCCCTGGCTGGCAGGGTCCCCCCACCCCAGCATCATCTCTGTTGGCAGCTACACAGGTGAGGAGGACAGGATGCCCGGAACAGAGTTTTACTGTTTTCATGTTATTGGAGCCCTCAGGGTGCTCTTTTTCAGCCCACTCTTGTTCTGGTGTTAGTTCAGGGAAAGGAAAGTTATCTCCTAGAAGCGGATTCTGAAAGAACACAAGGGGCTTCATGCCAGGGTTCTAGGAATGACTTTAGTGAATGGTGTGAATCCCATAGTGGAAGATTCACTGCTTCTTTCTCTGCCCCATGTCTCTGAGCTAGGGAGGCTAGAGGGGGGACTGTTGCTTCTCTGTAGGACCCTTGTCTTTCCTCTCTGGACTGTGTGTGGCTTGTGTGACCACTGATGCCTCCTCTGTCCCGGGCTCTGAGAAGCAGATTCATGAGCAGAACTGTGGGATCAAGGAAGCCCTGGGAGGTTCTAGAAGAGGGAGGTTGGTTTAGGGTCTTTCCTGTCTGTTTTGCAGAATATAGTGGCTGCCAAGTATAGTTCTGCCTTTGGGCCAGGCTTGGCACCCAGGTTTCCAGCACACTCAAGTTTGGCTTGGCTTCAGGCAGGTATTTTTTTCACATAAAAATAACTAAGCTGAAGGAGGCTGGGGCATGTGCTTTGAATCGGAATCTGAAAGTCTCAGTGCTTTCTCAGTTGGAACTAGGGAACAGAGTTACAGTTTCTAACCTGGTAGTGGGGTTCTGTTGGCTCTGGACAGTCCTGGTGTTGTTTGAAGGACTGAGGATGTCTTTGTAGAGTTCACAAAGTCCAGAATTCCTGTCTTCTGACGGTCTTCCATTTAGGGCCAGGAAAGAGTGTCCTGGCAGAGGGGATTGTTAGAATTGAAATTTGCTGTTTATGGAGTACTTCCCCTGCCTGGATTTGTTCTACCTTCACAACAACCTCCTGTAAGGTCTCCTTAAGGCCAGTGCTTTCATGGCTACCTGCCGTTCACAAATTGAGAACAGTGAGACCAAGAGAGACTGATTCTCTCATCCAAAGCTACGTACATGGCTATAATGTGAGAAAACCAAAACTGAGAGCCCAATTCCTAACTCCTTGATCTACAAGTATTTGTTTTGGGGGGGGGGAAGGGGGAGGGCACACAGGCACTTGAAGAAGGGTTGCAGTGGGCAGTGACTGCCACCTGTGACTTCTGCCACCTCTTTCCACAGTGGCTCTCCAGTTGCTTGGATCCTGGCTCCCTCACTTCCTTGGCTTGAGCTCCCAGGGGACCAGCCACGCCTGGCTGACTGGAGTCTAGGGTGGGAGGAATCGGGTGTGCAGGAGGGGAGAGGAATTTGCCTCTGAGCCCAGGCTCCGTCAGCTGTCTGGATGGCTGCTCAGTACACTGCCTGTCAGCTGTTTTCCTTAGTTAGGGTGGACACAAAGGCCAGGCCCCTTGTTTTTATTTTTCTCCTGAGAGTGCTGTCAGTTCTGAGCCTCCTGGTCCCCAGCACAGGGGAGATTTTACAGTGGTCTTCTGTGGCAAGGCCAGGAGAGCTGAGGGTCCTTTATGACTGTTTTTTGATCTTTAAAAAAAAAAAAAAGTTAAAAAACTCTTCTCCCCATAGCAGCCAGTGACAGTATCACCATGTGCTGTTTAATAAGTTACAAATTTATAGCTCTTTGGGCAAAAAAAAAAATAAACACAGCATGCCCTGCCCTTCTCTGTGTGTTCTCTCCACTTTGTGCTGCTGGGTGGCTGCTTGCTGGCTTTTTTCATTACTGTTTAGATGTTGGTTTGGCTGGGAGATTACTCTGTTCACGTTCTGGCCGGAGTTTCCTGGACAGAGTTTCTACAACACTGAGGTGCACTCTGATTATGTTTTCTGCCCCATCTCCTCTCTTTCCTCTGTTCACGTTCCTGATGCACTGGATGGGGGGCAGGGGGCCTGGGTCACAACTGTGGCCCGATAAGGATTGCACATGCTCGAAAGGAGGAGACAGGCACTGTTCTCAGCACTTTTCAAGTATTACTGCAACTGTCCGAGAGGGAAATGCTTCATCTTTTCTTCATAGCTGCAGAAACCTGAGCTCAGTGAAGTTCACAGGGGGAGCTGGAGCATGAATCCAAAATGATCTGATTCCAGATCTAGTGATCCTAAGCATAAGGCTGTAGGGGCTGGGGACTAACTAGGAGATGAACCACAAGGCGTGTGGAGTAAGTAACTGATAGTTACCCTAAAATTTTTGCCCTGAGGGCCATTCCTAGGAGGTGGCCTGAATGGCAGAGGGTAGGTCTAGTGCAGGACTTAATAGCTCGCCTTCCCATCCACTAGCAAGGGGAACAGCCAGCTGTTGGCAATGCCCAGTTACTGCTGGAATCTGGACATGTCTTCTTTCAGCTTCTCAACAGTCTTGACCCTTTGGAAAACAGTATCTCATTGTCCTTGGGGGTAGTGCTAGGGGGGCAGGGGAGTTGCCTGGGGCATTCCGGGCTATGGAGCCTCCCTGTTTCCATGGAAAGTCTGGACTTTGGGTTCAGCTGTCTGTGGTGCCTCTGTGTGTTAGGCCAGGGTCAGGGCACCCAGCTGCTGGGGCTGTGGTAGAGGCCTGTGGAGTGCTGGTACCCTGTTCATGGGAGCTTTGTCAGGGAGGTATCAGATATCATTAAGGAGCTGAGCTGGGATTCAGCCCCTGGTGTGTCTGATTCTTCAGCAGATGCCCTTTCTCATATGCACTGCTTGCAATGGAAAGACAGAAAGACTTGGGCTGTGGATATCATTGCTTCATCATTATGGGATCAGGGTTTCTTCAGGGACCATCTCAACATTCCCTTTTTCCAGGTTCTCTAATGATGGTCATGGATTGGAAGAGCTGGGTGGGCCTCTGGTTAGAGGGGCAGATGAAATGCCAGAGTTACTGCTGAGGCTTTGAGCACCCCACTTTGATACTTCATTGTGCGTGGAGTTTCTGACCTCTGAATCTTCCTTTGAGCCTTTACCTTGTTTCAAGTCCAGAGATAGTATCTAAAAATATAAATCAATCAAATTAATGTGCAACAAAAATCAAATGTAGTAACAGAAGTGTAAAGAATGATTATTAGAAAAAAAAAAAAGAACTGGGGCTGGGGAGATAGCTCAAGTAGAATAAGCACTTGCTTGGCAAGCGCAAGGGCCTGAGTTCAGTCCCTGGTTCCGCAAAAAAAAAAAAAAAAAAAAAAAAAAAGAATGGTTATTATAAGTCCAGCATTTTCAGAAAACCTGTATAATTAAATCATCTAACTTTCTCCTAGCTTCATTCTAGCCTTTGCCCTGGTGGTTATGGTCTCCATGTCTTCACTAATAAAACAAACACCTGTAGAACACTTTCTTTTTTAGAGATGAGTTCTTGCTAAGTTGCCCAGCCTGGCCTCAAGCATGAGATCCCCCTGTCTCAGTGCCCTGTGTAGCTGGGATTGCAGGTGTGTGCCACCATGGTCTGCTGGCTTTTTTTTTTTTCTCAGTGTTTATAGAACTCTTTTCCATAAAATTTATTTAGTAGTTCTATGCTTTACACACATTGTTAGAGTAAATCAGGTCAATCATATGAGGCTGGTTTTGTTATTATTAGTATTCTGGCTACCAACTTTATCACAGAGAGGGTGAATCCACTAGCCCAAGTTCTACATCTAGTGACTGATGGGGGTAGGATTTGAATTCAGGTCATCTGACTGTGGAGTCAGACTTGTAACCAACCATTCTCTTTTTTTTGTGTGGCCAGCTCAGCCTGCCCTGGGGGCGGGGCTGGAGTGGCATGTGGTCCCTGTGCTTGCCTAAGTTTGCCTAAGCAGACGCTTTAGACCACTGAGCTATCTTGCCGGCTCTCTTTTTCCTTTTGTTCTTTTTTTTACCAGGAATCAGACCTTGAGCTTGCCAGGCAGACACTGTACCACTTAGCTATATCCCTGCCCCCCCCTTTTCTTTGTGATAGGGCCTTGCTGTGTGCTGTAGTTCAGGCTGGCCTTGAACTCACTGTGTATACTGGGCTGGCATCAAACTCAGGGGCTGGGGAGATGGCTTAGTAGAATAAGTGCCTCTCTGGTGAGCGCAAGAGCCTTGAGTTCAATTCCCGGTTCCACCAAAAAAAAAAAAAAAAGAAAAAGATGTTGGTTTCAAACTCATAG